TTTTTTTTTTTAATTTAGGGGTTCAACTAAACCCCTAGAACACCCCCCTCCCCACCCCTCCTAGATCCGCCCCAACCATATTCAGGGCATATGGAAACCAGATTTAAGCACTGGACTGGACTGAAAGCCAGACAGGCTTGCTAAAGGCTAGTCAGCCTAATCTCTAACCTCTCGATCTATGTTACTTTGTCCTAGGGTCCCCTAACCTATCCCTTTCAAATGTCTGCCCCCTGCCATTTGCACAGTTGTTCCTGTAATACTCAGAGTGTTAAATATATTTTGAGTAAGCAGCATAGCCTTATTAAAAACTTATCACATCGCTCAGAGGACGGTATATCACGACAGCTGTTTTGGAATAGTAATCGACTCGAGGTCCAAAACAAACTCTGGACAACATTTTCTGAAACAGAAGGAGAAGGTTTTTCAAGATGATCTCCGCTTGAGCTACTCTGTAAGGAAGCCCAGAGTTTTTGAAGGGCCTGTAAGCTAATTTTTGATCAAAAGAACATTTGATCGGATTGAAAACGAACAAACATGCATTTGATTTCTTACCAGTGACAAGAACTGTGGGCCTTTCATCGGCCATGTTGTTGCGTTGCGTGAATTACTGGGATCTGGGAACTAGTAACGGCAATTTTCGTGTCCAGTCTCTTGTCCGGGCCTTTCCCAAGATGGCGGGTCGAGGAAGGGGTAGAGGTAGAGGACGCAGTCTTTCATTTGATGTTGGAATGATAGGCTTTGGACGTGGAGAGGCTCTACCAGCTGCAATACAACAGCCTCCGCCACTTTACCCGGTAAGTGTTCAAATCAGTGCCTAGTCTTCAGAACGTGCGCCGAAGTACCTTTCAATTAAAAGCTTGTGAAGACAGTCAAGCTGAGTCAAGTTGTAAATTGTTCTTTTGATTATCAGCCCCTTGACGTCAAACCATTACCACTAAGGCAGACAGAAGCAGATGAATACATGTTGGCGCTGAAACAGGAATTAAGAGGCTGTATGCGAGAGCTGCCTTACTTTGTGAAGGCAAAAGTCAAACCAAAAGGTGAGAGTAGTAAAACGTTGCACCGTTGTACCTAGCTCTTGGAATTCGTCACGGAAGAAGAAATAAATGAATGAAGACGAAATTTAGGCGTTATGCGCTTATCATTGGCTTTCCCGGGGTTCAACCTGCGGGACAACCCGGGGGATTTGTTTTCAGAATCAAACAAAAACCCACTTAATCACTGGGGTATAGAGCATAATATTCACACCTGTCCAATTTTCCCTCCCCAACAGGCTAAGCTGAAGACAGAATACCTTCCTTTACAATAATAACAGATAAATGTATCAATTTTTTTTCGCTCTCTTCTTCTTCGAAACTGTTGGCAATTACAGACTTTCTTTTCCTTCGTATCACTTCCCATGCTTTCAAAAATGGCATGATGAAGAACAAACATGCAACAAACCCTGAAGATCTCCATCAAATGTCAAACAAATGGCAGCAAGATGTCCATCTGGGATTTTGAAAGTGGTGTACTGCTGACCAATGTCAAACAAATTCCATAGGTGCATCCTGGGGGTCTGGCGCATTCGTTTAAAAAAACTAAACAATGTCTTTACCCTATGGGGCAAACTTTTTTGAAAAATGCACCCTTTTCTGGGGAGCAGGGATGGCGCAGTGGCGAGAGCACTTGCCACCCACCAATGTGGCCCAGGTTTGATTCTGGCACGGTGCTAAATATGGGCTGAGTTTGTTGTTGGTTCATGCCTTGCTCTGAGGGTTTTTCTTCAGGTTCTCCGACTCTCCAAATTCCAGTTCAACTGGGATAGAGAACCTGCATGTAAACCAGCTAAGGCAGATGTGGCTTCACTCTCTAAATGTTGTTATTTATTTATTCTGCATGGCCCTGTGGGTGTCCTGTGTGTCATTATGACTTGTGTCCTATGGTTCAACAAGAATGGACTATGAAGCAGATTTTTAATCTATTCTCAGTCCTCAATGGAGAAGGGAGGAGGGAACAATGGTTGAGAAGCAGTTCTTCACTAATACTTTGAAGTTCAAGAGTTACTACAATTATCAGTTGAGTAAGGCACAAAGGAAGTTTGGTTACGAAGTTTTGGCCTCAAAATTATGGTGTTGTCATGGGCAACTTACCTCGTTTCCGTTGGTAACAATATCAACAGCCGTTGGTC